CTATTGAAAAACAACTCAACCTATGTCACTGAACACAACTCAACCCAGGTCACTGAACACACCTCAACCCATGTCACTGAACACTGCTAAACCCATGTCACTGAACACTCCTCGGCCCATGTCACTGAACACTCCTCGGCCCATGTCACTGAACACTGCTCAACCCGTGTCACTGAACACTCCTCAACCTATGTCACTGAACACAACTCAACCCATGTCACTGAACACACCTCAACCCATGTCACTGAACACTCTTCGGCCCATGTCACTGAACACTTCTCAGCCCATGTCACTGAACACTCCTCGGCCCATGTCACTGAACACTTCTCAGCCCAGGTCACTGAACACTCCTCGACCCATGTCACTGAACACTCCTCGGCCCATGTCACTGAACACTGCTCAACCCGTGTCACTGAACACTCCTCAACCCATGTCACTGAACACACCTCAACCCATGTCACTGAACACTCCTCGGCCCATGTCACTGAACACTGCTCAACCCATGTCACTGAACACCCCTCAACCCATGTCACTGAACACTTCTCAGCCCAGGTCACTGAACACTGCTCAACAGATGTCACTGAACACTCCTCGACAGATGTCACTGAACACTGCTCAACCCATGTCACTGAACACGCCTCAACCAATGTCACTGAACACTGCTCAACCTATGTCACTGAACACTGCTAAACCCGGGTCACTGAACAATTCTCAACTCCGGTCACTGAACACTGCTCAACAGATGTCACTGAACATTCCTCGACAGATGTCACTGAACACTGCTCAACCCATGTCACTGAACACGCCTCAACCAATGTCACTGAACACTGCTCAACCCAGGTCACTGAACACTTCTAAACCCAGGTCACTGAACACTTCTCAACCCATGTCACTGAACACTCCTCAACCCATGTCACCGAACACTGCTCAACCCAGGTCACTGAGCACTGCTCAACCCATGTCACCGAACACTCCTAAACCCATGTCACCGAACACTCCTCAACCCAGGTCACTGAACACTTCTAAACCCAGGTCACTGAACACTTCTCAACCCAGGTCACTGAACACTTCTCAACCCATGTCACTGGACACTCCTCAACCCATGTCACTGAACACTGCTCAACCCAGGTCACTGAACACTTCTCAGCCCAGGTCACCGAACACTGCTCAACCCATGCCACTGAACACTGCTCAACCCAAGTCACCGAACACTGCTCAACCCATGTCACTGAACACTGCTCAACCCAGGTCACTGAGCACTGTTCAACCCATGTCACCGAACACTCCTAAACCATGTCACCGAAAACTCCTCAACCCAGGTCACTGAACACTTCTAAACCCAGGTCACTGAACACTTCTCAACCCAGGTCACTGAACACTTCTCAACCCATGTCACTGGACACTCCTCAACCCATGTCACTGAACACTGCTCAACCCAGGTCACTGAACACTTCTCAGCCCAGGTCACCGAACACTCCTCAACCCATGTCACCGAACACTGCTCAACCCATGCCACTGAACACTGCTCAACCCAGGTCACTGAACACTGCACAACACATGTCACTGAGCACTTCTCAACCCAGGTCACTGAACACTTCTCAACCCATGCCACTGAACACTGCTCAACCCAGGTCACTGAACACTGCACAACCCAGGTCACCGAACACTCCTCAACCCATGTCACCGAACACTGCTCAACCCATGCCACTAAACACTGCTCAACCCCTGCCATCGAACACTCCTAAACCCATGTCACTGAACACTTCTCAACCCAGGTCACTGAACACTTCTCAACCCATGTCACTGAACACTTCTCAATCTATATGGCTATTCACTGCTCAACGCATTTCATGAAACACGTTTTCACCCTGTCACTGAACATTCCTCATCCTATAGCTCATATCGCAAATTTCAAATTTTAGTGTATTGTGGGATAGTTAATTTAAATAAGATTTGGGATTGCGATATGATCCGTGCCAATGGAATCTCATCACCCCGATTCACTGGACAATCCTCAACCCAGATTACCGAACACAGCTTCTAGACACTCTAATCGCCGACAAAAATGTAACACAAAATTAATGAAAGTTATTCACAGTAATAATATTCCTTATTGCATACATTATTAAATTTGCATTTAATCATCAGTTCTATTCGTACAAGCCCCAATTAAAACAAAATATCAGCTCAGACAAAATTATCTTGGAGATGGTTTCCGATCCCACGAACGAACGTTGATATTTGACGGATACTCGGTTTAGTAATCCTTTGAACACACGAGTCAAAAATCTACTATTAATAGCCAAGAAGAAATTATGTGGATTTGACCAAGTAATATACATAAGAAATTTCGAATAGATATACATTGGCATATTTACATGTAAAATAATTTGAAGTAAATTTCTTCGCTTGTTTCCGCCACATCTATATTAGCCAGAGTAGTAAGAATGTCTTCCACCTCTGTGTTGAAGAAAACATCGACACACACACAGAGTGTTGAAATCGAGACATGTCATATACTAATATGAGCTTTTGTCGTATTATATAATATTCATATGTTTTGTTCTTGGTCGTCCTGCAATCATTTTTTGTTGTCTGTTGGATCCGTTTTGAATAAATAAATGAATAAATAAATAAATAAATAAATGCAAAATGAATTATGATATATGCATAGCAGCGTGACATTCATATTTATTCCATTTTTATCAAAATCATAAACATATCACCACCTTGAATTTACTATATACGTCATATCCTGGTTTGAGTGAACATGACAAGACGTTCGGTAAACACTCTAATAGCCTGTCCACAAAGTTATTGGCTAGTTCCGATACAAGAACACCAGACACCGGCGGAATAACTCAATCATGTCAGTAAAGGACAGATTATGACTTTCATGATTTATTTGAAATTCTATATTTAAATACTTTCCTAGGTAGATCACGTGGTATGATAATTATTGTGGCTATTCCTTCATCAATGGGGTAGAAATTGCATTAGCATTCACGTAGCATCATGTGATGCTAATTTGCATAGAAAGCAAAATGATATCAGATGTTTCTCCTATTTTGAGCTGATTCAGCGATAAGTCACGTTATAAAATATTACGTGGCGATGCATTCCGTGTCTCCAGAATGACGCACATATTTTACTAGTAATTCGTCATGATAAATGAATTGATATATTTGTGTCTATATTTGGGCATTGCGTGACGTCATTGATTGATGATATCAGACGATTACTTATCGCATTTCGTTTGCCCTGAACATGTATTATTACAACAAACGCTAGCCAATGAACATGTGTAAATTAGTTCGGAATAAACGTGATACGATATGAATAAAATAAAATGTGTCAAATTTTAAATTATATTCAAATGACGAGTCACGGTGTCGTCTGCGCATTTGCCTGTCGTTTACCTTGGGTTGCAGTTCATTTTGGTGCTAATATGTCACATCAGGCGGTCATACTATACCCACACAGGAACTCGTTAGAAATGGCTCTGTG